TTTGCATTTCCACGTACAATTTTTCTTGTGCGGAGGACTTTTTTATTGAACCATTTTATCTCTGTCAGTTTGTTGCCTTAGCTTTCAAGGAAGGAACACTTCAAATGGAAAAATCTATTTTTGGACTGCAAAAACAGACTGATCGGTGGTGGTATATTCTGATTTAATTGGGTATCATAATTCTTTCAGAGCCAATTAGTGAGAGACTTTGAAGGTAGTGTACTTCATTCTTCTGCTCAGGAGTGACATCCTACTGCAGAAAGCTTTAGGAACAGGGATTTCCAGTAAACATTCAGGATGTTACCTCTCGGCCTTCTCAGTGTTAGAAAATAAACGTGTGTGAACTCATGGTAAATATATGCTAAGTTCTAAGTGTTTGCCAGCAGTTATATCAGGGGATGGATCAAATTGCTGGAAATCATACAGCAAGTTCCTTTATTGAGGTGCTTCTTATCTTTATGTATCAGGAGCTCATATTGACTGAATGTGTTTTCATGCTTTTTCCAGCAATTGTTCAGCATTTTTTACTTAAAGCCTAGATTGCTTTCATTGATGAAATAAAAATGGAAAAGCCCACGGTGAAATGACTGGAAGCAGTAATGCATCCCACATGTGCTGTGGTATATTTAACACAGTATTGGCGCCTGGGAAAAAACGTGCTCGCTGCTTCACTGATAAGTTGGAACTAAATTGATTTGTCAGTGACACTTTCTCCAGGTTTATCACCATCCATTCCTACTTCATTGGTCGTTCTACTGAACCGAACATATATAGGGTGCTGAATACCGATACACAAGCACCAGGTCATCTGCTTTGATGTCCGTGACTGCATGATGTTGTTGTTAAGGATGAAGCCTAAGAAGTAACCCGTGCTAGTGTCTAGGATAATGGATTGTTCTTTGGTGTCCACCCAAGCAGTATTGTATTGCATTGCATGACCTTGAGGATGCTGATGCGCCCTGATGTACCTGATACAATGAGATCATGTTAATATTGATAACAAAATACCTCTGACATTAATACGGTTTGCCATGGTAAAGAATTTAAGGTGGTTTAACAGAGAGCCATTCTGAAGCAAATAAATAAGTTAATATGACTTAGTCTTAGTGTTTCCACTGCTCTGTGTAACGGAATTGTAATATATCACAGCTTGTATCTTTAAACAGATCAAAGGCACAGAAATGCAGTTTTTCAGTGTCATCTACTCATGCATTTGAAGAGAAGACCATAAGGTGTTTATAAAGCTATTTATTTCTTAGTTGGTTTAACTTGAGAGTGACCAAAAATAAATAGATATTCAGCTATATAGTGGAGCACTACAGTCTGTGTAAAGTAATATGTACATATTGCACACATAGATCTCCTTCGTATTGAACTCAGTGTAAAAATTAGTGGTTCAAGACATATCATCTCCCGATGTGATTGAACAGAATTCCTATCATTCTTAGTTTAAATCTTGTATTAAATATCTACACATCAATAAAGGAATAAAGGAACATGAAAAGTTCATTCCTGAACTCATGGTACAAGTCTACAAGGACACACAAATGCTTTTATTTAAGGCCTTTAATGGAAAATTCTAATTCTCTTTCCTGTAAGTTATTTTCTGAAGGGAGATTGGGATTGAATTGAAATTTGAGGGTTATATAAAACTGCATATTTCCATAAAGCTGAATTGTTTTAGTGTCTGTTGAAGAATTTTCAGAAACAAACTATTGCAAATTGTAAATAAGGTGAACTATCGAGTGAGGTTCTTTGTACCTATAATTAGACTTGATGAGACCTGAATAAAAGGGCGAGAAGAACAGTGAAGTCTGAAGCCTCACCTGTTGTTTTGCAGTCAACATGTGCACATGAAGTACCTCCTGGGCATGGCGGTCAGGTGTTCCTGTCATGCTGTGTTATTTCATTCACTGGGGGTGAGGAAAGCACTCTTGTTTGTGCATTGAGAGCAGAGCTTGCCTTGTGTGTGTATACACTTGGCTTTCTATGACAGATGCTAATCTCAAGCAGGGTAGTCCTGCGACCTGCATGCACAAAAGGCCAAGGTAGCCAGGAGGGGTAAAATCCAGGGGAGTTAATTCTTTGCCTTCCTGGTTTCTATTGGAAAAAATAAAAACACACTCAAAAACCCCATCAACCACGAGGATCATTTATGCTCTTTACGTGCTAAAGACTGATTTGTACCCATGTAAGAATGAGCAGAAACACCATTGCCACTAATCGCATCAGTTGCCTTACTAACACCTACTGTGTAGCCATTTACAAAGATTATTTCCCTTTGTAAATATCTATGGCCTCTAGGGGCAGGTCTGCTGTGATTGCATCCCCTTTCTTAAGCTGGCCTGCCACTCTCTCTGCCACAGAGCACAAGCAGTTTATCTGAACGCAAGTAAGGTCATTTGGAGGAAGGGCCAGTAGACTGGCGCATAATCGGAGAAATGGTAAAGATGTTTTCATTACCTAAGCAGATGTCAGAGCTTTGCTTTCATATCTTTCAAGCGGTTTCTTCTTTCGTTTACATGCCATAGCAGCTGAGTCTATGAATGTCTGTATGGAATAACTCCCTTCTTTAGGCCTGTACCTCTAAGGCACAATTCCGACACCTGTTAGCCTTTCTTAAAGGGCTAAAGTCTCTCATCCACTAAAATATATGCAAATAAGCAGAATTAAGGTTGAAAGTGTGTGCTCTCTAAATGTACTTAGACACAGTCAAGGCCTTGTCACATATCATCATATGTGCAGTGATCACAAAAAAGGAAATGGTAGTCAGAAAACAGATCTTGTTGTGTGGACAGGCAGGTAGTAAACTCCCTTTACCACAGGTTCCCCTGGTCCACGTTTGGACATGCAGTAGCTGTGATTAAGGGACACACACTGCTCAGTGATAGCAGCAGGTGTTGATAATCCTTCCTGTATAACAGGGAGCTTTGGCCATCATTGACTGTGGCTATTGGGCTTGGGGAAAATAATAAATATAATCAAGTGGAAATAAATGTACAGCAAGAGGCTGATTTTGGACAGGAGCTTCTGGGACAGACAGAGGACCCCGTTGTCTCTATGCGCTGTCACCCTGAACTCCAAACTGCACAGCAGCTCTGCACATGATCAGGCAAGCTCCATAGAGTGTGAAGGGAGGACACACGAAATGTGAATTGGAAAAGAAGTGGGCAATGAACCTATGACATTAACCTCTGAGAATCTTTGAGAGATTCCATCTCTGAGAATGCAGCATGTCTTCCCAGTTTTCATCAAGCTGCCCCAAAGTACACAAGAGTTCTGAATGCTGATCACACAGACAGGAGTTTATAAGGGGCTCCTAAACATTGGAACATGTAAACGATTTTAACAAAGAAAGTATGTCTGCCTCATGTTGAGTTGTACTATTGTAGAAGAATCTACAACCCTGCTATTTTCAGTCTTGAAACATTTATCCATTTAGGATGCGGGTGGTACAGTCTTTGCCAGTGCAGAAGTTTTATTCTTTTATTCTTGTTGGACTTTGAACAACACTAAACACTGATGGTAAGACCACAAAGTAAAGTGCACAGTGCACTTCCTTTTGGACGTCTGTTTACTTTAGGAAGTAAGGCACAGAAATGTTTTTTAGATTGAGGAAATGGTAATTAGTCATTGCACAATGGCTGTAGTCCTACTGACTACTGTTTGTTTTCTTATACAGTAGGACTGTTGTTTTCTATGTTTTAATTAAAATAGCCTTTCGAAGAAATCTCCTCCCATTTTAAAATGAATGTTTTAAAGCATGACAGTTCTTCTCCTGAGCATATTTCAGCCAGTGGTCCTATTTGATGCAGCTGAAGCAGGGGTGTGCAATACACTCTTCAGCCTTCGGTGTTCTTTAGCTTCTGTAACCTCAAGTAAGTTAAGGGATTCGGAATCGTTCATGTGGCTTGTGCCCGGAACATGGACTTATACTGGAATCGCTTTGAGCAGCCAGATCAGGTTTCTGATTCTCTTCCCGGGTCAACTTTTGTACCCATACAATTTCAAGACTCCCCCTGTACTTGTACCAAGTACCAAGAATATATCGGCAAAAAGAACTATGCACCTTGGAGACATACACAAGATTTTTAAGATCATTTCAATATATACTGTATTCATCCAAGGTGACGTAGAGGCATGTATATTGCTAAAATATAAAGGGATTTTGTTTCTTCATTGTTTCTTTCCTTGAGGTATTCTAGTAGATAGGAGTCCTCTGGGACAATGTTTCCCTGCTTCTGTGTGTCCTTGTAGTCTTGCTTCTCTCAGCCTTGTTTATCAACACCCTTGCGGTGCCTCACAGAGACATGAACAGAACATTGTGCACAAGAAGTAGCAACAGCCAGAGGCACAGACTCAACACAGACTGTGTCCTTCACTCAGGCCAGACTCAGGTCAATTAGCAGAGCTTCCCCTTTGCACTGATTGCAGCTTGCCATCTGGATATACTTTTCTGCCTCTGTTGGGTTCCAGACACCACAGAGGACTCAGGACTTCCTTTCTGGAAGACGAAAAGCCAACGCTAATCCTGGCATCTTTAGAAGCAGGAGACTTTCTCTCGTTTTTTTTTTCCACCAAGACAAAACAGGTGAAGCAGAGATGAGAAAAAAAAATCGTTTCGTTTCTGATCCACGGTGGTGTCCGTTGACAAAAGAAATCAGCTTTGAGCCGTGTGGCAACACAACTGTGCCAGCCCTGCATGTAGAGTGATTCGTCCTGGGCCATTTTGCCCAGGTACCTGACAGGGATTCTGGTGCTACTGATACTTGGCACCTTTTCCAGTGGCCTCTGAAAGAGCAAGGCTGAGGGCCAGGGGGATATTAAGTGCAGGGCATCGAGGAGCTGTTCCACTCAGCTCATAGATCATACTGAAAAAGAAACAAACGTGGAGTTGCAGCCAGTACTGTAACATGTTTCAATTCTGTGCAACAACTGCTATACCTACAATGTCTGCAAGGATACGTTTTCTAATTTTTGTCTCCTTTTTTCATTTTCAGGGGGAAATTCATCAGTGTTTGGGAAATCAACAGCACGAGGTAAATTTTAAGATGATGTTGTCTGATCTGTAATGCCTGTTTTTTTTAAATCTAATGTGAAACTTAATTACTGTGGTTGCGTAACGAAATAAATCTGGCGACCCATTAGCAATTGGCACTTGTCATAAAGAGGTGGGATGAATCAAGCTGGCTGCTATTTTTAATCTGGACCCATAGAAGTACCACTTTCAAATATCATCAGTTCTGATTTTTTAAAAATTCATCTTTGCCATAGAGCTCATGGAAGAATTAGCTGTATAATTTAGGCTTTGCAGATATGAGTGCACAGATATCCAAGAACTGTTCTTCTGGAACTGTAATTGTTTTAATCCACAAAGAGAATTAACATGTGTTGTGTGTGCACAAGCTTAAGCTCAGCGCTTAAGTTTATGTTTGTTTAAAAAAAGCATTGCTCATGAGAACATTATGAATATTTTTTTTTGCATCTTTCCTCATTCTTTTAGTGTTTATTTTTTATGTACTGTATTTGTGCCTAAACCATTGTTTAGATGTGCTGAGATTAAATATACCCAGTCATGTTAGGAATTAGATTAAATTGTACAGTAACATCCTCTGGATGAATTGTCCTCAGTTTGGCTGTTTTACTGTACAGCAGGAGCCCCTATACAGCAGGTTTTGTGGCTAACCTTTAGTTCATCAATTTTAAGCAGACAGTTTCACTGTGATCAATTAAACAGGTGATTTGTTAACATTGGTAATTTAGAAATCATTTGGAATGAAAATCAATCTAAAAGCATCGGAGCTGCCTTTACTAAACAAATGACTTGCTTAATCAATCGATCAATAATGAGTTGGGAGTGTACCCAAATGGGAAACAGTTCACAAAAACGAAAGAAGGGGCCCAGTTTCCCCCAAAGTATCAACAGAGGAAATAAAAACAGCAAATCCACAAACAGCACACTCTACCCAGACAGGTGCTGTCTGGATGAGCTGAGAACAAGTCATTATTCACTCATCATTTGTTACTGGTTTTACATTTTCCTGCTCCTTCTGATTCTTGTCAGGACTCCAGTATTGTATATGTTAGTTTCTGAACTGCACAAAGTCATGTGCTGCACTGTGATAAATCTGGGGCCTTCACTGGAGCATTAATTAACCTTGATTTGATCACCTCATCTTTTGAGCATCAGTCCCTGCAGGTCGAGTGGAATGCTCAAGGTTTGATATGCTGAGTTGCACAAAAAAGAAAGGACTAAGCTCCAGTAAGTGCTTTTAGTGCTGCCCAGGAAGCATCTGGGTTACATCTATGTTTTTAAAATAATGTTAATGAAATTAAAAAAAAAAAATGAAGCTTGTCTTTTGTGTTTGTGTGGCTGGAGCAGGGCTGTGGAAGACCACTCTCCACCGTTTGCAAGACTTCCTGTAAAAGGAGACATAATACCGAGGCACTTTCCAAAAATAACTTTGTTGAGCAAGGAAGCACTTGCATGTTCCTGTAGAAGAGAGAGAGCTTTTTATATTCCCAGTCCCCAGACAGATCTATGGTCTTATTGCTCAGATGATGGAATTGCAGAGAAATGTGCTGCCTTAAGTGCTGCCTGAGTGCACTCTTCACCCGTGCTCCGAGGTACACTGGCAGCTGATCGGAAACTGCCTTTGTCCTGTAAGACCTTTGGCCAATTAGCTGATGAGGAACGAGAGCTGCACGCAGAAAAAAACAATGAAGCTGCATGTTGGTTTTCCATTAATAAAGTAAAGTGCACAATAGTCCAGTTTACCTTTTAACTATAAATGTATAATTTTGTTTCCAAAACTGGTGCTTATTATTTAAATAATTTTAAAATTATTTGTTTACTTGACGTATTAGTACTCAATGAATAATACTGAGTTTATAGTGTCAAGAGGACAGCACTGTATTCTAAAGCCCTGTATGGCAGATAAGATGAAGTACCATATTTCTATCAGTTCTTTGCAGGTGTAATGGTAGAAATTAATCACGGTATGTCATTGAAGAAAGTGCTTTCTTTGAAACCTGCTGAAGCTACTCAAAAAAGACTAAGGCATATTGAGACTGTCATCACATTCCTACCTTCTGCTCATCTCAGAACTTTTTGTTTTCCGTACATTTCGGAAACGTCTTTCGGGCCTCAGTTAGCACTGTACGAGCTGCCCTGGTGAATTAACTCTGAATCCCTGGAACGAACTGTGTTTGTATGCAGCTCACTCAGGAGCTGTTGGGATAGCACTCAAACTCTCTATCCAGCAATAATCATCAGCTAACAAGCCCACAACAAACACCTGCATGATAATGTACTGTATATGGTTCTGTACTTGTGTAACCAATCAGTAGACCCTAATGAATCTACATAGTGAATAGTCACAGCCAGTGCAGTGTAGCCATTCTCTATGACTAGAGCTTGGATTGCCGGTCTAGTAGACGTTAGTGGAGCAACAGAAAGGTAATAAACAAGAGGGGGTCGTTTTGCCCATCTAGCTTGTTTGGTTGCTGGAAGTTAACTGCACTGAGTATTAATGTCTAGTGAGAAGACAGGCTATTATTTTCAACAACATGGCTGCGTACAGTAGCTTGTTTCCGGCTCCCACATCCCTTTGTGTATGTTCTGGATCCTGTTATCAGTTTTAAATACACTTCTCGTTTTCTGGTTTCCTGCCCTGGTTTGTGTTTCTCCGTTGACCTTGAAGAGGTCCACAGAGTGGGCTCGCTCAGTGCTTTGTGGCCTTGTTAAAGTGAGCGGGCACATGTTTCTTAGTTCGTTTTATTTCCAGGCAGTTAGATGGCAAGAAAGGAAACCCCACAGCTGTAACGATTAAAGCTGAGCTGAGCTGATCTGCACACCAATCTAACAGTCTGGTCTTTAATCCCAGCACATTTCTGAGTCATCTGTCAATCCAACTGACTTTTTGTCTAGAGAGTCTTTCCTTGTTACCCTCTAACTCAAAGACTTGGGTATTGATCTGTGTGCTGATTCTCTGACAGCAGGACAAGGGCCGAATTAAAGTCACTTACTGTACATTTGCTTTCCATTGCTAAACAGGGGCAGCCCTGTCAACAAGCAGACTCCTAATTCTGGATAAGGTGGATTTGTCACTATCTAAGACGCTTTCCATTTTTGCCTCTGCTGTTACAGTAGTTTATTGAACTAAACTTTGAATGAAATGTAAAGAAGTTCAGTTTTCAGTTCTGAAACCTCTATTCTTATTGTGATATAATATATAATACGGGGTGTGATTGTCAGGGGGGTAGAAGCCTCCAAGTTCCAAGTTAGAAAACTCCTGTTTATAATTTGGATCTGTTATTTGTATGCAACGTATTTACATCTAATAGATTAAAAAATTACCTTCCTCCCATCAAGTAGCTTCTTAACTATTACTAGCTTGCTAACAGTAATATAGTCCCTTGGTCTTAGAAGAAAACTCATAAACGCATAGACAATGGACATGTCCTAGTTTAATAAGTTCCTCTATTCTTTCTCTTTCATTCCTTACATATCTTTGCTCTTGTAAAAGGCCAGGCCATGGGTTTGGAATTGTATTTCTCCAAGAAAAGCATCTGTGGCAATAACAAACCAAGACAAAACATGTGGCAGTAATAAAACAATATCTAGCTTATGTTTTAAGCACTTTTTTCTTATATGGATTTCACATATGAGCTATAATTTATATTTAATTTATAATTTTGTAATGCACATTGAAGACATAAATGGGTCTATAATATGCAAGTATTGAAAGTGTGATTTCCAATTATAGTGAGATTGGTTCAGTTTCAGCACGCCGTGTGCAATTTCTAGACAGGGCTGTAGAAGAGGCCTTTCTCATTCCTCTGTTTGTGGTGTTCTTGGCTGCTTGGGTATTTATGCAGCAGTGGAGGTTCTGTTAAGTAAATATTAAAGCAGGAAACATTTGGACGAAAGAATACATGCTAACTGGCTATGTATTATATTTCTCTCCTTCTCCTTCTCTTGCCTTGTCTGTGAAATACTGTACACACACCAGCTTGGTTCAGGAAATCTTTTTAATTCCATTCTAATACATCCAAATACAGGGATTAGGGAATTAACTCAATATCAGTTTAATAATTGGATGTAGGCTAAAACTTTGACTACCTTGTAAAGCGTTTTCTTGTGCTACACTGTAAACAATGAAACAGTTTCCTCAAAGATGCAGGTCTGTTTATATTAATATAGAGTAATTATATTGTTAACAGAAACCCTCTTAGGTTGTTTTTTGTGCAGAAGAGCAAGCCCCTGGTCCCCTTTTAAAGACCTTACAGTTGTTCAATTTTAAAAGGTTACTAGGGCTCTGAAAGTGGATGGAGGGATGGATAAAGGCTTTATTGGCACACTGTAGTTATGCCTCTGCTGTTACAGTAGTTTATCAAACTGAGCTTTGACTTGAATGTGAGGTTAAGATGTCAGGTTTTCGGTTCTGTTTCTGTTCTTATTGTGATCTAATATACTGTAGGGTGTGATTGTCAGGGAGGCAGAGGATCCGAGAGAGGTGCGTGTGACATTGGGGAGCAGGGGAGGCACTATGCGCGTGGCGTCTGGGAGCAGGGAGATGCCCAGACTGAGATACAGATGCCACGGTGTAGGGACGATTCACGGAGCCTCAGTCGTTGCCGTGTCGACTCGCCGGGTTAGATCATGAAGGCTGTAGAGCAGATCCAGCCAAATGGGAACATCCCCGAGAGTCTTCCACTGCTGCTCCTCGAGAGGGGATAGTGTGTGAGAGAGAAGCAGAGCTGTGAGGTACATTCGGCCTGGAGCTCGCAAGCCAAGAGCTCAGAGAGACGAGTTCACCTCAAGACGATCTCGGAGGGGGCCATGAGAAGGATCGAGGTGTGTTTGCGTAGGAGACGCTGAGTCTGGGAGTCTCTGAGGAAATTTGCGGTTTTTAACACAACAGGTTTTTACCAAAGGATCCTTAAAAAGACCTGTACTGCCTGACTTTCTTGGTATACAGCATCCCCTACACTGCAGGCCTACTTATTGCTGCATCATTACTCATATAAATGTCTT